AAAAAAGAGAACTGTCACAGTTACATCGATCTGTCATAAGTATCTTTTTTAATGTTGGGTAAGTTTTTTAATTTAACTTTTTTAACACATTTTTTAACACATTATTAAACATTTAACTTTTAATTTATTTTATGTAATAATATCAGAATCTTAAAAATGTAATGCATCTCTGCAAACTCCTCAGGTGTTGTGATTTTATGACTTACTTTTAACATATACTTTCTTGTCCCTATGGCGACACAGTGCGTCGAATTAACTGAAATCCGGGCTTGACCCGGGTAATTGGATGTAGTTGGCGATATCTGCCGGCGGTTCTCAAAATGTTGCGATTATTTTTTTAAATTTTCAAAGTTAAATAACTCGGTTATTTTCAATTTATTTTAAAAATGGTAAAGAGAAAATATGTTTATTTTACCAGATCTACCACCCCTTAAAATATCTGCACTCATTTCTGGGACACCCTGTATATGTTTGGGACAACTAATACACAGCTTAGAATCCCTACTACCAGAAATCAATAGAAGACCATGGTTAGGACGGATTTTATATGAGATAAACTTATTTAGAGGAAATAGTCTCGATACTTATTTAAAAAAAAACGGGATCATGCCATACCTAGCACTCTAATCAAAGTAGTTTAAAATTATTTTGATATACGAATACTCGTAGTGATTATCGCCACGCAAATGGATCCTTAATGTAATTTATGTACATCAATCATACAATCCGCCTCTAAAAGAAAAAGCCAACGTACCAAAACAATACACGTTCAACATTTACCTTTCAATCCGCGGATAAAAATCTTAATTTCCTTCGGCTAATCGGCCGAAAGGCATTGCAGAAATTCACAACTGACTTTGCGCGAAAGTTGGTATTAAGCTTTCAAAAAAGAAATTTAAATAATTTTCAGTGGCACGCGAAAGGCCGTTCTGACGTAAAATATGCACGACGTTGCCGTGTCTTCGATCGGCTGTACATAATTGAACCCCTAACTAGATGCATTAACTAATAATTTTTATATACAAAAACTAATCTTCAAGTTTTGTAATTATATTTCAGGTCCAGTCCTCAATTCCTTCAAACAGTTTTTAATGCAGAATAATATCTTTTCTGTCTTTTTTTATTTTTTTTTGTTCGATTTATTTTGTTCGTAAAAATTTTGCTGGAATTTTGCTGTTTTTTTTTATGTTATAAATATGTACTGTATTAACATATTATATATTTCTTTTAATTATGTATGTAGGTATACATAAACATAATAATATATTGTTTATTTCAGCTTGATTTTTAGTTCCCCAAAAACGTACTTGAGTTAATAATAATTTTACTGGCCAATTAATAAATCTTTAAACATCTACATTGTTAAAAATGATATGTAATATTGAGGACTGGATCTGAAATATAATTAATCGATCAAAAGAACTTACCTGAAGTTCGATCGTAATTATATGAAGGTCCAGTCCGAAAATATTACATCCCACCCTCCCTCAACCAATTGGCAGTAAAATTATTAAAATGTTTAAAACCAATGAAGTTAGCGGCGAGTGTCACAACCAAAACAAGAAGGAGCAGAGATTGTGTTCTTCTTCTTATTCTTCTTTAAACCTTGTGCTCAAAAGTATGAGATGGCATGTACTACATTGTTAAAAATGATATGTAATATTTTCGGACTGGACCTTCATATAATTACGATCGAACTTCAGGTAAGTTCTTTTGATCGATTAATTATTTATTATTATCATCATTTCCAGTTTATTCAACAAGTTAAAATTATTATGGTGTAGCCTCCCTTACATATTTAGGTAGTCTTCCTGTAATTGGGCCCATTTTTGTCTGTTGTTAGCTACGCGAGTCCAAGTTATTTCGATATCACGACCACATCTTGGGTTTGGCCTTTTTCTAAGTCTCTTGATTCCTCGTCGGTACTATGCTGTAATTTTTGTGGTCCATCTGTTGTCCGTTCTTGTTCCCAGGTGTCTTGCCCATTGCCATTTGAGGGATTTGATTCTGTGGATGGGGGCCTATTATCTGGGTCTTTTGAGAAAGTTTTCTATTTTTTTCTCTCTATTTTTCTTTATTTTTACGGTCTTTGTTTGTTATTCCCAGCACGTTTCGTTCCATCTGACGTTGTGTAACCTGCAGTTTTCTTGTGATGTCGGTTTTAAATGTCCATATTTCACAAGCATAGGTACTATACTACTACATATTATGACTGGTACTACATATTGATCAAATTTTTTCTTTTTTAGATTAATTGACATTCTAAATTGTAATATGATTGAGTTTATTAGTTTTAATAGTCTCGATACTTAGTTCTAATAGTTTTTAATACTCTCTCTAGGGTACCCGGTGGCGTAGAGGTACATGCTCTCGTCTACCAATCTGAAGGTAGTGGGTTCGAATCCCACACCCGGCATTTCATCAGCCGACTATTTTTATTAAAATAAAAATAGTTTGGGTACCTAGGTCGACTCAGCCTTAAATGAATACTTGGGATTCACAATCCTGAGGTAATAATAGGCGGTTGAAGCGTAGTGCTAGCCACATTACCTTCCTTGAATACCGAACCTTGCTACAAATACAAATTGCTATAAAACGCTATACACGGGAGCTATTATTATTATAATACTCTCTCTAAATAAGTATCGAGCCTATTAAAAGCTATGGTAAAAAATTGGAAATAGTTATAATTGTATTAAAATATAGCCACAAATTATACCTAAATACAGGGTGTCAAAAAAATAGTGTATCTAACTTTGGTGGGTGGTTCTACAGATAAAAATAAAACAAAAAGTTTCTATGAACATATGCCCCAAAATGCTTCCTGAAGAAATAATAATGCAGCCCTCGAAAGATTAAATCATCAATTATCACAATTGCAGACAAAAGGTAAACTGCTAAGAATCATATATTGAAAACACTCAAAAATTTGTTTAAAACCTGAGTAATATATCATTGCACAAACTGGAGGTGTAAAATATCGTGTTTTAAAATCTAATATATTATGTAAAATCTGACTTTTATTACCGAAAAAACTTTCTAAATTTTAGCATGATTTATTTCACAAGAACTTTCTTTGATTTATTCGATTTTTCCGTTATATTTTACTAATGTCTAAAAGTTTTTTACAATAATATAAATGTGATATTATCTTTTGCTATTACATTTCAATATCATAAAGTGGTATGATGTTATGTTGGTGGTAATAACGATTAGGAAAGAGATATTATAAAGACAATAAAAAAAAGCTAGGCAATAAAAGTTCTAGAAAGACAGTCTAATGGAATCAGAACAAATAGTCGCAATAAGGTATTATTCTTACCATTTTTTCTCCAATAGTATTATAAACTATACTTATATCATACGATCAAAAAAAACGGCGTCGTAGACGGCTGGGAAATGACAAACGATGATAATTTTGGGGAGGTCAAGCCAACTGTTTGATCGAGCTCGAAAGAACAATATAGCAATTTATTTTCAGTAATTAATTTGTTGTAAGAAATATCTTTGTAATTCCAATGTCCAATGATGTTAGTTTGTAAGGCCGTATTATTCCAAAAGGTGTTGTTTTGTTAATTAACTCATCAAACAGTCCTGATGATAAGAATAAATTTTTCGATAGCTTGACAAATTGAAAAGTAGTTTTATTAGCTTATGTGATGATTATTTACTGCATCCTCACTAAATTTAGTACTTCTTCAGTACTTCTTAACTTAAACCTAAAGTTAACTGAGAAAAAATATACGAGTATAACAAATTTGAGAATAGATGCCTAATATCCATTTTTATTCCAATCACAGGATCAAATATTAACAAATATAAAAAGATATAATACAGGGTAGTCCGAACTGTGTTCCGAAAACTTTGGCATCATATTCTGCAGATAAAAATAAGTAAAAAAGTTCGTGTAAATATATGTCCTAAAATGCTTAGTTTCGGAGATACAGGGTGTAGAAGTGTCATATTTATTTCGATTTTTTCCAAATAATTTCTGAAGTAACGTCAATATTTGAATACAAATTGGCGTATGGAAGTTTTTTGACATGAGAAATTTGATTTTGATGTCAATATGACTCTACCTACATATTTTAACTGGTTTGAAGAGTAATAACTTTTCGTCCGTACCTGTATAAAATTACTGAGGAAAAAAATATACATTTACATCATTTCTTTCGTAAAAAAGGTCTTTTGGTAAAAATCGCTACGAGTTATCAATGGTTCTCGAAATATTTTGAATCGAAATTATCTATATCTGTCAGCATTAATTAGTTATTCAACTGAAATCATAAATTTGAAATGTTTTCTTGCCAAAAGTTCAACAGAAACTGTTTTATCATCATTTTTTCGATGATTTATGATTAATTTAAAAATATAAAAAGGTCCCAAATTTATCATTTCAGTCAAATAACTATCTACTCAACATGTTTATTTTTTGTCAATAATGACATGTATTGACTATTTCTATTTCAAATATCTTGATAACGCTTGCTTGTAGCGATTTTTACCAAGAGACATTTTTTACGTAAAAAATCACGAAAATGTTTTTTCGCTCAGTAGTTTTGTACGGATACGTGCGAAAAGTGATTACTCCTCAAAACAGTTAAAACACGTATAGGCGTATTTCTTATGTCGCAAAACTCCACAAAAAACTCCCGTAACGTCAAATATTGACATTACTTCAGAAATTATTTGGAAAAAATCGAAATAAATATGAAACTTCTACACCCTGTATCTCCAAAATTAAACATTTTAGGACATACATTTATAAGAAATTTTTTACTTATTTTATCTGCAGAATACGCTGCCAAAGTGTCCGGAACACAGGTCGGATCACCCTGTATCTGTATAGTTCTAAAGGCTTTTGCAGAACTAAGTGAGCTACTACCTAACCCCTACGGATCCAGTAAAACTTATACAAAAATATTATCAGCTTTTTTGACGTAACTGTACCAAAACGAGACCTCAAAATTAATCTTTGCCCTTTCTCTTTGACATTCCAGCTCTCGGCGGTGGTGGACGGAGTGTACGCCGACCATTCCCACATTGCCGGCAAATTTACGATGCTCTCCTCCAGCCGTGTGTACGTCGGCGGCAGCATAAATACCAGAGCCCTGCCCGGCGCCAGGGTGCACAACAATTTCGTCGGATGCATGAGGAAGGTAAGTGTCGTCTGTGGTTTTATTAAACCGGGATGATGTACTACTGAGAATTTATTTTTGTTCCATATGCCGTTATATAAATTCAATCTTAGCAGTTTTTTGTGCAATGTCGACTATAGTAGGCTAGAGTCGACTATAGTATAGCTTTCGATTGTGTAGAGAAAACTATGCAGTGACGTAGCGAGGAAGATTTCAGTTAACGTCTCCTTTTTGCTGCCAGGGCTAATGTGGTAGCGAGGAAGACCCGTGTTCAAATATTTTTTACCCTTCAACAATTAATAATTTTGGTGGTAATTGCGGTATTACTTTATATATTTAATAAAATTATATAAGGATTCTTGCCACTTAACTGCTTCTATAGAAATTTAATTCTACGCTTTGTTTGTCATAATATGGATCAACCTGCTCTCAGTACCGGTTTCGGTCCATCATCAGGTGAGCTTGGGCAGATCCACAAAATGACAACCACAGCGCAGAGATAGTTAATTCCGACTTGTCGAAAAGTGTCGGTTAGATATTAAGTCCCGAACTGGAGATAGCGGCCTGCGTGCAATGGTAGTACTTTCGTACCACCGGGGCGCAACTATCGATAGTAAAAGGATGGTAAAAGGCTTTTTTTCAGGCAAGCCAAATTATAAAATAGAAAACAAATTTCTTGCAGTATAGGTATATATTAAAATTATATAAGGATTCTTGCCACTTAACTGCTTATATAGAAATTTAATTCTACGCTGTCTATCGATAGTTGCGCCCCGGTGGTACGAAAGTACTACCATTGCACGCAGGCCGCTATCTCCCGTTCGGGACTTAATATCTAACCGACACTTTTCGACAAGTCGGAATTAATTATCTCTGCGCTGTGGTTGTCATTTTGTGGATCTGCCCAAGCTCACCTGATAATGGAGTAGGGCTCCGAAACGGTAGTGAGAGCAGGTTGATCCACATTATGACAAACACAGCGTAAAATTAAATTTCTATATAAGCAGTTAAGTGGCAAGAATTCTTATATAATTTTATTATATATTTATACTGCAAGAAATTTGTTTTCTATTTTATTAATATCGAGAGACTTTTCTATATTTGAATTTATGATAAGATTTTCAGTTAAAAAAGTCCTCCAAGAATGAAGATATCCATTTCAATTTTATAGTAACAGATTGACCATGTCCTAGCTTAGATTCTGCTGAGATTCAAAGATGTTAAAGATTGAAAGAAAGAAAAAAATTGAAGATTGAAAAATGTAAGATTCAAAGATTCAAAGTTGTCAGTTAAAGATGGATGTGAAACAGTTATATAGTCTGTGAAACGAATAACTTTGAATTTGACAGTTCCCACGGGCTTTTCTAGTGTTAATTGCAACTTGCGACCATGCTGACGCAATGCCGTCTCTAATAAAACAGCCTCGGAGCGAGATTTATGACGTCACGCTAACATAATTATTCCTTATATTTGACTATGGCTGAAATCGTACTCCATAGTCAATGTAGATAGTTTTAGTGTTAAGAATAATAATTTTAAAAAAATATGTGGTCATCTTTTGACAAGTCTATATTAGTTTATTAATTGCAGTAAACATTCTGTGGTTTGGTTTGGTGTAAAAAATAATGAAAAACCTAATAAAAACTTAACCAGCGTTTTTCGCGAACCTAAATCCCAAGAAAATCAAAAATTTTAGAATAGTTTTACATTATAAAATGACACCGATCTTTATTTCATAGCCATCGCTGACGCATTTTTTTCTATGATATTGTATTATTTGCAAATATAATTTTTAATGATACTTGCAAATATTTGTACATATAAATTTTGTGAATGCAAATAATAATACATCACTATTAGTATATATTGAATGTTTTTTGTTTTGTTTGCCCAACATATTTCTGATTACAATCTTTACAAGAAATTTCATAAATACCCGACCTTTCCAGTGGAGGTGTTTTATCTTTTGGATTACCTAATAATTGTTGTAATTTATTATTAGCACTATACACCAGTTTATAATTGACATTCTTAAAAATTCCTTTTAGACCACGGGATAACTCTCTATCAAACGGTATCGAAAAATATTTAGACGTATCTTTCTCCACTTGAAAAGTCGAATTTTCAGAAACCATTAACCTATACCTACGTTTTCTAATTAATTTATCAACTAGTGAAGGAGAATGTCCATAACACTCAGCTACATTCGTAATGTAATCTCTTTCTATTTCATATCTTTCGTTGGAAAGTGGGAAACTAAGTAATCTATGAACTAAGAAATTTAAACTAGCCATTTTATGTTCAACACTATGATGTGATTCATTAGGAATATATCTGCGTGTGGTCGAATTTTTCCTATAGATATCAAATTCCAGGCAATTATTAGTATTTTTAATAACTAATACATCTAGAAATGGTAATCTGTCGTTGTTCTCAATTTCATGCGTAAATTTAATGAATTAATAAATATATAAATTTAATAAATAGATTAAGTAAATTAAACGGGACTCTAAAACATAAAATAAAAACCATAGTTTTTTAATAAATTTTAGTCCAAGGCAAACTGATGCTTTAAAACCGATCCATTCGCTCTGAGCTATCGAGAGAAATAAAACCGCTTTAAAACTAAAAGTTTGTAAAAGTCCTCTTCCACAAAACTATGATAATTCCAATAAAATTAGGAGAAGGGTAAAGATGCCGAATCCTTCCCAATAAATTCTCTCGATAACCGAACTCGAGTTCAGTAAAATACTTTGGAAAATATCTAAACTATGTTAGGTCTCGTAAGTGGAAACTTCGGGAAAGTTGTATGCGAAGCTTCAGAAAATTATTGACGGTCGTCAAAAATTTAGTTAGAAGGTTTCCAGTACGGTGCAATTTATAGATTATGAAAAGAACTGGCTTTGTTATTGAAATATTTAAGGACTCCAAAAAATCAACGGAGATAAAATAATATTTTCAGAAAATTGACGAATAAGACTTACTGGATATACAGGTTATATCACATACGACACGGAGTATTGTAGGTAAACGATCAGATTTTTACAAATTTTAAGTTTTGGGTTTGTTGAAGGGCTGTTAGAGTTACAATTTAAAAATAAATTTATAAGATACAGAGTGTCCCAAATAAGTAAAAAATATTATAGTTGTATTTTTTTTAAAAGTGTGTTTTTTCAATTTTGTGATATTGCAGTATAAAATATAAGGCTTCATTTCTACAAGGGTGTCAAAGTTTTTGATACTTAATATTTACTGAAGATTAATTTTTGATCAGAGTGTTCAAATTTTTTTATTAAATAATTACTAGCTTTAAACGGCAATAACTTGTTTAATTTTAATGGAACACCCTGTATATTTTACGTGAATCAGATGCACAATTTTATTATCTATGAAATTGTATTATACCATTTTTTAACTATCTTTTCAAGTTTTCGTAGAAAATGCATTTTATTAAAATTTAGACCTTATTTACTACATCTAAAAAAAAATTAAAAAAAAAATGTTACATCTTTAAAAATAATCTAAAGTAAAAAATGTCTATACCTATGTGGCGGATTCATCTATCCAAAAAAATCCTTATGGGTTTTTCGCCACTGCACTGCAAGAAAAATCTACAAAATAAAATAGTTATTTTTTGTAAACACTTCTGGCGTTAAACCTAAACGGACGCTGCTTGTCAGAAGTTGTGTTTACAGTAATAAAAATTTGCCTAAACGTTTCGGAAAGTTTTCTCTTTCCGTCGTCGGAAGCAAAAAAATATAAAGAATCAAGAAAAAAACTATTTAAAATATTTAAATTGAACTATTCGAGAACACTTTACTTTTTAAAACAGATATGTCTACAAGAAATCGTTGACGTTCTGGTAAAATGACAAATAAACAATTTATATATATTTTAAATAGTTTTTTTCTTGATTCTTTATATTTTTTTGCTTCCGACGACGGAAAGAGAAAACTTTCCGAAACGTTAAGCATTTTTTTCTTTGTTAGGCAAATTTTTATTACTGTAAACTTCTGACAAGCAGCGTCCGTTTAGGTTTAACGCAGAAGTGTTTACAAAAAATAACTATTTTATTTTGTAGATTTTTCTTGCAGTGCAGTGGCGAAAAACCCATAAGGATTTTTTTGGATAATCTAAAGTGTCAATATTCCATGGGTATAGTGATGAATGAGGTCTAAATTATAAGAAAATACATTTTCTACGAAAACTTGAAGAGATATGTAAGAAATGGTATAATATAATTTGATAGACAATTAAATTGTGCATCTGATTCTCGTAAAATATACAGGGTATCCATTTAAATTAAACAAGTTATTGCCATTTAAAGCTAGTAATTATTTAATATAAATTTTTAGACACTCTGTATAAGATAGTATTTTGTTTATTATTGCAACACAATATCCGATCAATAAATAAACTTCAGTAAATATTTAGTATTAAAAACTTTGATACCGTTGGAGAAATGAAGCCTTAAAATGTTTACTGCATTTTCAGAAAATTGAAAATATTTCAAAAACGGTGGTTTAAGTGTGATAAATCTTAATCAAACTTTTACCTTTATTTGAATCGTAGAATATAAAATAGAATAATATACATGGTGTTCCGGTTAAAAAAATTCAACTATAATATATTTTACTTATTTGGGACACTATCTTGTAAAACTATTTTTAAATTGTAGCTTTAACTCTTCAACGAACCCAAAACAATTTGTAAATATCTAATTGTTAAACTACAAAATTCCGTGTCGTATGTGGTGAACAACCCTGTATAGCATATGTGTTAAGTATCTCTTAAACTGAAATTTTCTGAAAAACTGCTCAAAAGCTTGTTGTTAACATAAAGACCTAAAATCAAAATACCAATATTCATATATAGACTCTATATTACGAAGGTATTATTATCGCTATATTCCACATAAATTTCTAAGAGCTCGTTGCAGTAATGCGAACGGCGCGAAGTTCGAAATTCATTCCGCAGGATTCCTCCAAGATCAGAATGCTTTCTGAGAATCTCAATGCGAG